ATGATATTCAATTGCCCACCCCTAGCATTCCCTGATCCTATGTGCTGTTCTGCCAATAACGGTGGGTGGAGAGGTGGGGTGGTGGAGGTGTAAGGACCACTGAGCCTTTGCTGTAGGATCAGAGCCTTATGGGAAAGTCATGCCTCAGTGCTTCCTCCTCGTAAGCAGAATAACTGGAGAAAGGGTGGTGAGGAATAAAGCAAAACCTACTTTCCCTCCTGCAGTCTGCCTGCTCACCTTCACAATACCCTGAAGTCAGCTTACAGAGCACACCCTACTGTTAGGAATCAGTGACCCCTCTATTACACACCTTTGGCTCACACAGGTGAAACAATGAGGTTGTGGACCATTTTCTCACAAAGATGAGAAGATTCTAGGATTCTGGTGTTTCCTATCAGGTGGTGACAGGCTTGATTCTCCTAATAGGGAAGGGCCAGACTTCATAACTGTGGGGTCCTTTTAAATTGTGGGAGCTATGACTAGACTCCTTGCCTTACCCTTCACTCTGTACGCTCACATGGAATGAAGGTGCGAAGTATAATCTTTGGGTAGGAAAATTTTTTTTTCTAAGAGAAGCTTTTATGATCCCTTGTGAAACCTGAACATCTGTCCCAAATGTGACTGAGTTTGGTCCACTGTCGTTCTGAGTTCCCAGAGGCTAGTTAGAAATAGTTTCTATTCTATTCGATAAGCTTCTATTCAATCTCTCCATTATCTAAACAACAAAAGTCAATTGTTAGGGGGCCAGAGAGCATATGGGGTGAAGGTTTTTTGCCTTGCACGTGGCCAACTCCAGTTCCTTCCGCCAGCATCTTCCCCCAAACATCAGCTGGTGTAGCTCTGTAGCCCGCCCAGCACTACAGTACCTGAGCAGCACCTCATCCTCAGACCACCATCCTGGTTGGCCAAGAATCACTGAGAGGCACCCCCAGCTTTCTGAGCACTGCTTGGGAGACATCCCACCACCTCCACCACCACCACCACCACCACCACCACCACCACCACCACCACCAAGAATAAAGAGTTTACAAACGCAGGGCTTTCACTTTTAAGTTTTTAGTAAAGGGCAGTAACAGTTCATAATTATTTAGGCTCCATTTCTCCACTTCCCATCTGCTTCTTTAGTCTCTGCAGGATTGTCTCCCAGCATTGGTCTGACCCAGATTTCTCTGCCACTGGAGTGATTTCAAACAAAACCTGGAAAGGACTCCTGGCTGGGGTCTTTGGGCTAGTTTGTTCTGTAACCTCTTTGCCTCCAGTTCAGTCTCTGGAAATGGAGAGGTTAAGAGTGTCTGGAACACTGGTTGCTGTCTCTCAAGCATTTTTTTCCTGGTGCCTAAACTCTAGTAATGGCTACAACTGCTGGTTAGTGTCTTGTTCTGACATGGCCATCTTTGAGGCATATACAAGGGAGTCTCACTTTTCCCCTCCTTCTGCATCAGGGAAGGCCACTGGTCATCTAGGCATCTGCTCATGGGGTAGAGGAATACCTTTTCCTCTCTCATTCTCTTGTGGGAAGAGAACCATGGCTTCTGGTGACTGTATTGCTCTCTTGTGCTCCAGAGAAGCATATAGATTATAAAAGCCCAGTTTATTCCTCTTCATACTCAGTGACACGAATATCCACAGAACAGGAAATTAGCCATCCCCTGGAGTGAGAGGTCAAAGGCTGACTTTTCTTTGTTCTATGACTGACTGTGACAGCTAGCATGTCCTTGGAAGAAGGCTCATTCCAACATCCCAAAGACTCTCTTTTACTCATTCCAGTGTGTTGTGTTCATCTGGGAACATTTATTGAGCACCGTCAGTATGCCAAGCACGACTGTGTGCCCTGGATATAGAGCAATAAATAAGACAGATGAGGGCCTTACTCTCTTAGAGTTTACAACCTCAGGAGCCAACACATTTCAGAATTCTATTAGAATTTCTCATTAATCACGTCTTCCATGTGGCAAATTCACAAAGATGGCCCTGAAGCACCCCAACATTCTGAATCACCTAAGAAAGATACCACAACAGCCACTACAGTTTAGGAGACAAGCGTATGCTGTGTTTGAATACTTCTTGAAAATAGAAAAGTTCTGGGGCTAGAGAAATAATAGTACAGCAGGATGGGAGCTTACCCTGCACATGGCAAACCCAGGTTCAACTCCAAGCACCCCAGACGGTCCCTTGAGCCTGTCAGGAGTAATTCCTGAGTGCCAAGCCAGAAGTAAGCCTTGAACATTGCCAGGTGTGGCCCCCAAGAGAAAAACAACATAAAGGAAAATAAAGTCCATGTAACAAATCTATAATGTCCATAACGTTTTATTAAACTGAACAACACCATCCTGGACACAGAGACGCCATGAATCTACATGAATTTATCTGATGGTTTTGTGGATTTCTACCTGCTGGTATTTCCTCCCTGCATCTTCTTCTGTAGCTGTATTGTGCCCCAGGGTGAGGAAGTGTCCAACCCCAGGGGAGACCAAGGGGAGAGTCCTGTGTGGTCTGTGACAACCATCAACACTGCCACCACCTCCCTGGGCTCACCCAGGGCCTCTGCTCTGACAGTCAAAGGGCCACTGTGGTGTCTGAGGTGCTCCGGGCATCGGCCTGCAGTACCCCAGCTCCGGCTCCCTGTCCCACTCCTGGACTCTACAGCTCTGCTCTTAGGGGGCAGAAACTTCCCGAGTTTCTGCAAGAGCTGGGGTTGTGCGTCAAGTCAACTTGAAGGGATCCATGTGTCAGGATGCCAAGAGGAGGCCAGGAGCCACAGGGCATCATATCACACACACACACACACACACACACACACACATACACACACACTGCACATACACTGCACTATTCTATAGGGGCACCCCCCCCACACACACACATACACATAGACACTGTGCTTCTCTACAGAGATACACATACTCACATACATGTACATACTCTGTACGTCACAGTACACGCACACAAACACACTCACATACTGCACTATACTAGAGGGGCAACCCCTTACCCCCCGCACACACATAGATACTGTGCTTCTCTACAGAGATACACATACATACACATACACATACTCTGTACATCACAACATACACACACACACACACACTGCACTTCACTACAGGGACACATGCTCAACCCCCACACTTACAAACACAGACACTGTACTTCACTACAGAGACAGACACACTCACACACATATACTCTATATATCACAACACCACACACACACACACACACACACACACACACACCCTCCACACATGAACTGGCATCACAAAAGGAACACACGCACCTGCACTTCACTGCAGGGTACCCACCCACTTCCACACGAATCCCCATTCAAACACACACACATACACACACACAACATAGCACTTCACTATAGGTGCAGCACATGCCCACCCCACACACTTATAAACACAGACACTATACTACAGAGACAGACACACTCACGCACACTTACTCTATACATCACAACCAGGACACACACACACACACACACACACACACCCCATCTCACTTCACCCACACTCTCAGAGAAGTGAAAATACTCTTGGTCTCTTGCTCTGAAGGAGACCCCGGGTGGCGAGGACAGGGATAGAGGGAAGATGGGGAGGAGAAAAGGAGAGAGAGAGGGAAGAAAACACACAGATGGGAAAGGACACTCACGGTAGGGAAAGAAATTTTATTTTCAAGCTTTTAAGAGAATAATACAAACAACAGAGAGTTTTAAAAAACCCTAAAAACTAGTTTAAAAAAGTACTCGACAGTGTCCCCTTCAGACCCACGATGACACAGCCATTGGGCATGGACATGAGCCGCTCTCCCGGGACCTGCAGTGGCCTTCCTGGCAGAGGCCTGGGGCAGCAGACATGGGAAGACCAGGGCACCAGAAGGACAGGAAGCTGCACTGGAAGTACCAGGGAAGCCCATAGCACTGAGGGGTAGGCCACGCTGCCCAGTCAGAAACACTTAGATGGCTCCCCACTCCGGGTACATCCGGCCAGTGCCCCGCCACCCACAGAGGCGGCTCTCTGGGGGCCCTGGGGTGCAGAGGGTGCAGGCAGGGGTCCTGGCCAGGTGGGTGGGTCGTTGGGACAGGGCCTCCGGGAGGCCAGCAGGAGGATGCTGGGCCCACAGGAACCCCGCCTGCTCTCCCCGCGTGTGCCCGCGCCTGCGCGTCCTGTAAACATCTTTTCCAAATCACCACACACAAAAAAAAGTAATAAGGGCACAAAAAAAAAAAAAGAAAGACCCCCATCTCCATACCTAAGCCCTCTCCCGAAATTGGGAGTTCTGGGTTCGAAGGGAGGAGAACTCCCCGTCTCTCTGGCCTCCGACACAGCCTCCCTCCCACACCATCCACCCAGCAGCCCGAGCCAGGGGCAGCCGGGGCACCCTGCCCACCCCGTGTCCCTGCCAGTCCACCCTGCCCTCCCCGACACTGCCCCAATCCAGGCCCAAGAGGCAGAAACCCACACTCCGAGGCACACCCAACACGTCGCCTTGCCTCCCTGCCCTTGGCAACTTCTCTTGCACCCCGAGGTGTGTGACTTCGCCCTGACCAGCGGACACTTCTTTCTCCTAGGTTCTCTGGCACTGGGACATGAGGAGGAGTGTGTCTTCCTCTTGGATCCACCTGTGTGGCACCCCGATGCTGAGTTTGTGTGGATTTTCCTTGCTCTTGTCGTGGGAGCCTGGGATGGACTGATGAGAAACCACAGGGTGCTCTTGGCACCCACCTCACCCACCCCCGTCCACTCCAATCCTGCCCACCCCGAACCCCCTCCAGGCCGACCACTCTCTGCTTATCCCTGGCTCTGCGCCCCACCCCAAGTGCCGCCTTGCCCCCTCCCCATTTCTCTCTCTCTCTCTCTCTCTCTTCTCTCTCTCTCTCTCTCTCTCTCTCACACACACACACACACACACACACACACACACACACCCCTACCCTATTCCCCAAGCAGGCATGTCTGGAGCCCGGGGTTCGGCCTGGGCCAGCTCCCCCCCTTGTAGTCATGGCCTTCCTGGGAGGAGGTCTCTCACACGGTGGTGACCCTCATGACGAGCTCCCGGCTGCCGCCCTGCGGATTCCGCTGCTCGTGAGGTCTGAGGTGGCTCAAGATGTGCAGGATGGTGTAAGCACAGTGGTGATCGGGCAGAGGGCCTGCAGGGTGGCTGGCAGCCCGGGCAGGACCGTCCTCGGGGGCAGGGGTGCCCGTGGCCTCCTCTTCAGAGGAGGGGCCATTGGCCTGGGTGGAAGAGGAGGTCCGGGGGTTGGTCCTGCCTCCCGCCTTCTGTTCCTCCAAGTCTTTTGTCTTGTCATAGTTCAACACTTTCCACTGCTGGTTGACAGCCTGCCACCGTTTAAAGATGCGGTACACGGAGGGGCCCTCGTGGATGATGAGCCCTGCAGCCGCAGAAAGGAGGGAAAAACAAAGGCCACATCAGACAAAGCCAGTCCCCATCTCCCTCAGTTTATTAACAGAAGCGTCGGCGGGCTGAACTGCAACTCGTGGGATTCGATGTTTTCCAACCTAGGTTTCAACTGAGCTACGTGGTCAGTGTCCCTGCGTTCTGGGGGCCCAGCAGGCAGAAGGGGTCAGGCTGCGGCCCCACCCCCTTGCTCAGAGGCTCCTTGAGCAGCTGCGCACAATCCCTTTGCCTACCTCTGCCCCGCCCCACCCACTGCTAGCTTCGCCAAAATGCGAATTGCTAGTGGGTTGAGGCATAATAGAAGCATCTTTTCTTCACTCCATCGTGTATCCATGGCATCCAGCATTTAGCAGATGCTGAATGTGTTGCGAGCTTTCAAAGGGCCCGTGAAAGAAACCCTGTCATCATTCCAGCCGTGTTGAATGATGTCTGAAATGCCAGGGCTAGCTCTGCACACAGAGCCCGACACTCCTGAAATGCATACTGCTCCCCAGCACCAAATCATTTTGTTATGTTGGTGCCAGAGGCAGTGCAGAGTGACTGGCACGTGGCATCAGACAACTGGGCCAACACAGATGAACTGCATGCCTACTATGTGCTGAATGCTTGAATGTAGAGGCTGGGCAGGCAGTGCCACGCACTCAGAGAGTTGACGTTCTCATGGAGAGACCCACAATACACACTTCAACAAACCAGGCTACTAAAAGTGGTGCCAAATCTGTGAAAAGATACAATAGGGTGAGGTAGCCCCTGGCATTAGGGGTCCCCGTTTCAATGAGAGGGTGGCAGGGAATGGACTTTTCAGGGAGGTGACAGCCTTGGACGTCCCCAAGCAGCTACTGGGGTGGTCCAGGGCTTAAGCAACACTGTATTCCTGGTGTGGCTGGGAATCACTGGGAGAGACCTCCAGATCTCCTGAGAATTGCTTGGAAGACCCAGAAAAGGAATAATTATAAATAATAAAGGGAAAGGAGAATCTTGCAAAGATCTGGGGAGGACATTTGTGGCAAGAGGACACTCATGGCAAGAAATTCAAACGTGAAGACCAGGAGGTGGGAACAGAAAGAAGGCCAGCACGGCTGGGTGCAGTGAATAAGAGCAGAGAATGAACAGAGGACTGACCGAACACTGACCAAATGTAGCCCAAGGAAGTCCCTGAATGGTTTACTGTTGGGGGAGGGGCAGTATGTGATCCAGGAAGCTTCTCCTGGTCCCAATAGATACAATCAGTTGGAATTTCTCAAAATGAATATAACCAGAACCAAAAAAAAGTGAAGAAGTGATGATTTGTCAGGAAATGATTGCTGGACGAGACTCGGACTTGGGGCTAGTGATGGAGGTGGAAGGAGACCATTGGAGTTGGTGTTTGCTGATAAGCTTGAAGATGGATGAGATGTGGATCAAGGAAAACAAGAAGTCTTTGGCCTTGCCCGTTGGGGAAATAGAGGTGTGGTGGACTGTGCTCTGGGGGGTGCAAGGGCAGAGTGGTGACCACTGCATGTGTTTTCTGCCTGTGGCTGCTGTTATAAGGTACTACTCATATAGTGGCTTGAAACAACACAAAGGGATTCTCTTGAGATAGCTGTAAGGTCTAGACTCAATCGCCCTGGGTTAATACAAATGTCTAATGGCTTTGAGCGGAAGAGCCATTTCCTTCCCTCTTTTTCAGCTTCTAGAACACTCCCGCCCTCCTCGCCTCTTCATCTCATCATTCCACCTCCTTTTGGTGTCATCAGATCTCCCTCTTCTAAGAACACTTGTAATTACATTGGGCCCATGTGAATAATCCAGGACAATCTCTGCATTTCAAAATTCTTGAATCACATTGTAAAGCCCCTCTGGCGATGTAAGGAAATCAAAAGCTCCAGATTTTAGGAGCTGATATTACTGGAGGTTATTAGTCAGCTTTCCATAAAGATTAATAGTTATATTTTGCTTATGGTAAATCTAGGACTGGAGCGATAGCACAGCGGGTGGGGCGTTTGCTTTGCATGCAGCCGACCTGGGTTTGATTCCTCCGTCCCTCTCGGAGAGCCCAGCAAACTACAGAGAATATCCCGCCTGCATGGCAGAGCCTGGCAAGCTCCCAATGACGTAGTCGATATGCCCAAAAAACAGTAACAATGGAGACGTTACTGGTGTCCGCTAGAGCAAATCGATGAACAGTGGGAGGACAGTGCTACAGTACTATTGTGAATCTAAGATGTCTGGTAGGAATCTCACTGGATAGGTTAGGTGGGCTGTTAGATATGTTAGTCTGAGGCTTAGGGAGGGGTCTGACTGGGAAATAAAGGGAAGTTTGATTTTGGAAATACCCCAAATCTCTTGGGAATTACAAAGATAACAGTTTCTGATCAATAGATGGTGGACGGAATGCCAGCAAAATAAACCAGGAGCAATAAATGATTATTGAAGCCAGATCAGCAAATGTAGAGCACCAGACAGCAAGAAAGAGACAGTTTCCAAGGGGTGGGGGGAGTGATAACTCTAAAATGCCATTAGAAGGTGGGCTCAGGTGAAAAGAGGGGTGGGCATTGGCTTGGTGGACATGCGGAGAAAGGATGATAAACACAAGAGTGAACTTCAGGTAGTTCTCATCTGAGTGCATCCTATCTTTTTCTTCCATGAAATCATCATCTAGAGTAGAAGAGGCAAAGGAGGGAGTGCTGCATATTTGTGGGGAGAAGAGGAGGTGAGAAATAATTATCCTGGAAAATGGGAAAGTGAAAAAACAAGGCAGATATGATAGAACTAGCTGATGCTTTGGGGTGCCCAATTGAGATTTGTGACTCTACATTTCGAGTGAGTCATTATTTGTTGTGTGATTTGGATCCACACCTTCAACAGTTGCTAGGAGCACCTGTGGAAGAAGAAGAGGAAGGTTGGCTTTTGTACAGACTGTTTTTCCAGGCGTGCAAAGTAAGTAGGAGAGGGAGAATGACAGATGCTTGCAAGGGATTGATTATTATGTGTACCCATGGAATTTAGACTGGGGAGGAGGAGAGTGAAAGTACAAAAGGGAATAAGAAAACTGAAAAAGAAAGATGGAAGAAGCTAGGGCCAATGCCAAGTGCTCTCTATGAAACTGGAGAATCGATGAAGCCAGAAAATGACAGGGGGAAAAGGTCATGGTTCAAAAGGAGAATGTTGAAATACAGGTTTTAGAATATCTGGCTTGATGATGATGAGGTCTAGGAGGGGATCGCTTGAGTAGGGTTGAGGTGGGATCGAATAGTGAGAAAGCCAGGGAGATGGATATCCAGAGTGCTATCCAATCAAATGCTTCCTTCCTAAAACAAATATATTTCAGGATGCTCTTTCCTAGCTTGAAGTGAAACTCATATGGTAATATGAGCCACTGTGGTTTTTTTAAAAAAAAATTAATATTAAGCTCTAACACAGAGAAGCAAAGGGTGAAGTCATTTATAAGAAGACAACACAGAGTTGTCTTTTTCAATAAAAGCTGGGACCCAACTATATTAAAAAATAAACAGAAACCCCACCATCATTTCTGAAATTCCCCTAGTGATGGTTCAACCTCTGCTGAGAACAAGATCCTGAGGGTCACTCGAGCCAGGTACGTGATGGAAGGGGAAAGGTGAAGAGGCAGTCAGCCGCAAGATCGGCAGGGAAAAGGGGGAAAAGGAGTGGAGGGCAAAGAAAACAGGCCCTCCACCATTCTCCACAGAATCAATTATATAGGAGAGAACACAGCCACAAAGGCAGAAACTGTGCTATCAGAGGACAGTTATGTCGCAGTTAAAGAAGACTGACAGGAAGTCCTAGTGATTAAGCTGAGCTCCAGAAAGTGACACGGAAGACGGGGTCAGATAAGGATGGGCTATTGAGGAAAGGGGTGACTGTCCATCTGGGGAGACTGTGTGGAAGACTGGGACCTGTGACAGTGAGTGAGGTAGGGGTGGGGGTCCAGCCCCTGTGGAAAAATCTGTATCAACATCAAACTGGTGAGATGGGGCTGGAGCGATAGTATAGCAGGTAGAGCGTTTGCCTTGCATGTGGTTGACCTAGGTTTGATTCCCAGCATCCCATATGGTCCCCCAAGCACCACCAGGAGTAATTCCTGAATGCAGAGCCAGGTAACCCCTGTGAATTGCCAGGTGTGACCCAAAAAGCAAAAATATTAAATTAAAAAAAACTGGTGAGACTCCTCCATCTCCTCCATATCAAGCAGATGAACGGGACCACCGGAAGTTGACACTCTCTCTCCTCACTGGGCCTCTAGGAGAAGAGACAACCAACCACAGTGAGCTTCCCACCATCTCCCTCAGCCCCTGCCACCACATTCTGGGAGAATATTCCAGACTTCAGAGGGAAACAGTCTCCTCGTTGCCCAGAAGATCCTTGTCCTTAATTTCACAGACTCGTCTGAGGATCCAGTGAAAGTAGAGGACCATCTCCCTGGAAAACTCCAGACACTTGAATTATCCTTCTAATTCTAGGAGAGTTCTAAATACCTATGGATTCTTTGAACTGGAGGACCTGGCTGATCCAAAACTAGGACAAGGGGCCACTCTCTCTGCCCATGTGTGGCGTCCTCCTTATGTGCCCACTCTCCTGAGGTCTTTCAGCCTTTGGGAGACCGTCTTGTGCACCCATGACTCTTCAGCAACCCCCCCTTTTTCCCCCAGCAGTATTGTCCAAACAACGCCAGACTCCGTCTCCTAGAGTGTAAGTCCCAGGGGGACAGGGTCAGGTGTAGTCGAGACTGGGCGCCAACACATTATCCACAACTTCCTGGGTAATGACAGAGGAGAGGAGGGTCCTGGGAGAAAGAAGGAAGGATCAGTTGAATTCCCAAACTAACTCCTTTCAGTAAGAGCCACTACACTGCATTCTTAATTAGCTTCTTGATCAGACAATTTTGCCCTGATTGAAGAGGGTGGCTTCAATTTTTGGTCTGAATACCGCCTTCTAATTATATAACTGTCTCATGTGCAGGAAGTAATTAAACCA